TATTTTGGATATACAAGACACTTGCAGAAATTTTTTTAAAAGCTGATATAAGTTCATTTTTAAAAGAAATCTGTTTATGTAACTTGTAAGTATCACTTGAAATCAATCTTTTTTGAAAAGCAGTCTATTTAAATTCACTTTTCAAAAATTCTTTTAGAAAACTCTGTTTAAATTATTTTTTAAAAAATTCATTTAAATTCATTCTGCATAACTTTTCGTGCGAAAAATCTATTTGAATTCCTTTCTTCTTCAATGAATCTGATTTTAGTTTTTGTAAAATGTTAATTTACATTTCTTTTCTCTTCAATAAAAAGAAAAGTCATTTAAATAGATTTTGCAAAAACTAAAATCACATTCATTAAGAAAGGAATTGAAATAGATTTTTCGCACGAAAAGTTATGCAGAATGAATTTAAATGAATTTTTTAAAAAATAATTTAAACAGAGTTTCTGAAAGAATTTTAAAAAGTGAATCTAAATAGGCTTTTTTCAAAAAAGTCGATTTAAGTTGATTTTTGCATTAAAAAAAGTAATAAATAAAGACAAATGGCACATTTCTTTAAAAATTGCAGCAATGGGTTACTCAAGAATAATCACAGAAAATTGGAAAAAATTACTTGTTCAACTTAGATGACTATTTACATGTATAAACAATGATCAACATCATTTTTGAGACATAGTATCACCAAACGACGATAAAAATTGATAAGAGAAGACATCCGATGATGCCGAAGAAGCAATGGGAATGTTCATCGTATGCTGAATATTTGTTGCATCCATAAGTGCCGTTCTCTTAGAAAAGAGAAAAAGCCATGGAGGATAGATAATAACAACAGACACTTACTTTTGCAGAAGAAGGTGTTGCTACTAACCGTTCATTATCTCCGAACATGTCTAATGTATAGGTTGCAGCATGAGGTTGCGCATTTTCATGTTGTACTTGAAATATGCCTGCAAAGACAAACCTAACAATTATAAGATTAGTTCAAAGTGTTTACCTACCGGTTCCTCGTGTCCAACGTACGTCTTCATCTGAGAATAAAACTTTCGATAATGCCATAGCCGATAACGGTTTTGGACGAGGAGCCCGAGTCGTGTCTTTATCCGTCTCATTCTCAGTCTCTTTAATACGTTCCACTATTTGTTGAGGATCATACGAATCAAGCAGTTTAAGCGTCAACGGATTAGGTGTGCTTCTATGAGTTTCATGTGTTCTAAAGTTGCATACTTTTCTTGAAAGTATGCTCAGAAAAAGCATCATAGAATCGGATAGAAATCATTTCTAGATCTCAAAAGAGCTCTGAGAGGCTTTTCTAGAAAACCTTTCAAAAACCCAATCCTCAAACCATATCTTGATCGACAAAGTAAAAATCTCCATCAAAATGAGACCTTTTCGAGATTTCTACAACGCTGACCAGAAGTAGGATTTCTAGATAGCTATAAGATTCTTATAATATGATAAAATTGTTTTTAAAAATCTCAATGGCTGGAGCTTTACAATACAATATTCGCTTTCAGGGAGGAATATTTAGGAAAAGGCAGTTTTTGAGCATGTCATTTTCATTTTTTAATGAAGTTTTGAAATACTGACCTCAGGTGTTCTTAAACCTGAAGTATCGCAGTAAAATAAAGGCAGGGGGGGAGAAGCACACTCCGTGGAGTACCGGAGTGGTTCGGAGTGCCATGGGCTTAAGGAAACTTTATTGAGCTGAACTGTAGCAGAAACCTCTGCTCCCACAATCAGAACAAAAAGGCTCTGTCCGTGAGAAAAGAAGTTACAGTACAAAACACAATTGCTCTGTTCTCACGGAAATATTCCCAACAACAGAACACGATCGTTCTGTTTTGGGAACAGGGTTGTTCTGTTTTGGGGGAAAATATTGAGAAAATATCACTATTTTGTTCTGGAAGAAAACAACACACTTCCCCACTCCGAACCATTGTACAGAGTGCCGGAGTGCGGTGGAATGCGCTTTTTCCCTTTGCGTTTTACCCATAGGCCTTTTCTAGCCGATTTCTAGAAAGCCAGTTTTCTAGATCGTGTAGAGCTGGAAGATGTCCTATTTTGATCAAAATTTTGTGGGCTACCCAGGTAGGCATTTTGTTTGACCTAGTGCACTGCGTAACGCGTTTTATTGCACCAGAGATGCGTTTGAACGCGTTTCACTACACTTAAAACGCGTTTGGATGCGTTAGACAAATGCTGCTAAACGCGCCATATTAACGCGTTTAGATGCGTTAATCAAGACCGAACCTAAATACCTTAAAACTAAAGGTGTTTGGCTGCGTCAAAAATTAATGCGTCAGAAACCTGCGAAAATAAACGCGTCTTGATGCATGCAAAAAGTAACGCGTGCGAACACGTTGCGATGTGTTAATGTACCTCAAACGCTGGTAAACGCGTCAGATTCTAACGCATTTGTACATGATAAGCAGAGAATACATTCATTCATGTAAGAAAACTGAATCTTGGCCGAGTTTACGCTAGTGAATTGTACAGCGTTTGGACGCGTAAGAATTTGTCTCCAGAGACATATTCATAGGCAACTAGAGCATTGATTCACTAATACTCTTTAAGAAACGGTAAAATGAAACAATAAATATGTCAAGTGGTAGAAGAGCGGTTCTTAAGGATGGTCGAATCGGGGGGGATATAAAAAACCTGTCATTCGAACACACTTATTCATTGAAAATACAAAGTTCTATTTATAATAGTTAGAAAAACAGTGCTAACAATATTCATGCTGCTGTTTAACCTTGTTTCTATCTTTGAAAGAAAGGAAAAAGAAAAAAACATGAGAGAATAAAGAAGTTTGCGCGGCAATACTAGACTTACTTCTAAATCAACAGCAATTTGATTTTCTTTTTGAAGTTCTTCAGTCATACGCTTTAATCCAACTGATCCTTCCACATAAACCAACTGAGTTTCTTTTAAAGGTTTTACACGCTAAAAGCAAAGGATGTAAGGGGAAAAGAACGGGGACGAGTACGTCCTAAATGCACAATACTTACTTCAAATTGTGATGAGTGAACACAATGATTTAAATTTTCCAGTTCTTTCCGATAATTTATGTTTTCAAAAAAATTTTCTTCTTTCTTCTCTTACTAGAATGGAGATTATTATATGAATCTTCACTGTCATAGCTGAACGCGCTCTCATAGTCTCCGGAATATTCGAAGATCACAGAGTTTAGCAATAGAAAGAAGAAAAAACCTCTGTGAAAAGAAATTAAAAAAAATAGAGACATTTACAAAAGTGTCTGCAGCTGCGCTCACAAGCCTTTCTTCGGTCAAGATAAGCCTTTATTAAATTGCTCTTTCATGAAAATTTCGTCATTGGAAAAAATATGAGCTTGTGTCTCCATGTTGTTACATAGAAAAAGAACTGTCTTTAACGACAGCGAGAAGTACTTTAAATGAACTGCAGATTATTCCATCGAGGTATCTCATCTACTAAAGAAAGTAGTCTAGGGAAAAGCGAAATATAATATCACACAAACCATATCGAGTCGAAACAGATTTGACTGCAGTTTTTTGCAGTCGACCTGAAGAAAAATCTTTTTTTGCAAATTACTTATAGCATAAAGACATGACTAGTTTAAAAATATATCTGCTCAGGTCTTTTCCTTTACCGAGATAGAAGACATTCTTTCCTAAAAACTGACTCTTCGCTCCGAAGGTAAGATTGGTGAAATTGATTACTTAGGCAGCTGTAACTTTATACTTAATTTCTCTGTTATAGCTACGTATCATTATTTTATTCATAAAGGTATGATTATAAGTAGCCGGCAGAAAAGTACTTACTTATGGTTATTTTTAGGAAAGAATGTCTCCTATCTCGGTAATGGAAAAGA